ATTTTTAAATTTATTTTGAATTAACTTGAAAAGTTATTATCTGGACATTCTATTGTAAAAAATATTATATTATCAGGTCCTAATCCTTTTCGTGGCTTTATGAGAGAGGGTTTTGTTGAATTGAATGATACTAATGGTGTTGAAAATTTGATTCAAACTATTCAAAGTCAAAAACCTAACGAAAAGGCTGGCCCAATTACTGTTGTATTTTATAGTTCACCGTCTTTTTCAAAAAAAATATTATTACCTCCTTTATCAAATACTTTTGAAAATCTTTCTAAAGATTTAGAGTTTGCAATTCAGGCAGTTAAAAAGTTAGACGCAAAAATGGATAAAAACTTTGATTTTACTGAAGAAGTTAAAGATTATTTAGGTCTTTCTACTTTTGATTTTCAAGAAGACTCGAATGATGGACACAACATGGTAACTAATGTCATGATTAGTGAATACTTATAATTTTTTTAGATGAAAAAGATTTTAGATCTTTTAATAGAATATCTACGCCAAGTTCATTTTTTTCATTTTTACACTGTTACCGAATATGATTCTAGGTATGAACTTGAAAAAATGTTTCCCGGAAGGGTTGTTAGGTCATCTACTAATCAATCGGATGATTCTCTACTTTGTTTTAAACAAGGTAGCAGTTTTTTTTAATTATTTTGTTAATATTTTTAGAGTTATGGAGAACAAATTTTGTAGAAAAAATGAATATTTTCTTAGACTTAGAAAATGCAGATCTTCTAAAGCTTGGGGGAAAGCCTATTGATGAAGCAGTTGAACTTAAAATTGAATCACATGTTAAGAAAGAGGATGAAAAGAGGTTTCGCTGTTCTGTTAATGGTTGCAAAAAGCTTTTTAAAGGTCCTGAATTTGTTAAAAAACATATTGAAAAGCGGCACTCAGAATGGTTGAATGAAGCAAAAAAAGAGGTTAGGTTATATTTTATTATATTATTTGATTTTAATTCTAATAGTTCATTTTATTAAATAATTATGTTTTAGATACATCTCGTGTATTTCCGATAGAAGCATATTCATACTCTGATATAGTTAATCAAAGAGGTACATTAAAAAATGATTCAGATGTTTCACCAAAATCAATAACTCAATTACCGGCAAGTGGATCCTTTCATTTTTGTCCTCCTTCTGAAAAAATAAATATAAATTATGATCAAGACATAAATTTTAAAAAAAGTTTATCAGGAAAAAGCTTATACAACAAACCCAAAGTTTTTAACGAACATAAAGGAAAGAGCGATGGTAAAATGTTAAGAGTATATAAGGATCTCGATAGGGTTATAGATGAAACGCCTGATTTGAATTATTAAATATTAAAATCTCTTAGTTATGTAAGATATCTATATATTGACATTTGAAATGGCTTTATATTGAATTTTTTTATAAAAAGAAAACTATATAAAAAAATAATAATAAATTAATTAAAACTATTGAATAAAATAAAATCTAACTTTATTAAAATTATTACTTGTTAGAAACTTTCTATAGATTTTGTTATAGTCTGCTTAGAAAGATATTACAAAGATCCATTCATTCTTGTAAAACCATTTCAATAATCACCGAAAGACCATTTCGCATTCATATCTCGTTCTAGTCTAGTAATAGTATCTGCTTTTTCAATATTTGTATTTCGATCTTGATCCTTTTCAGAAGACGAATAATCGAATATAGAATACTTTGGTTGACAATACTTTTCATTTTGGACTACTCGAACAGGAGAATTTTCAGTTGGACTACTGTTAGAAAATGAAAAATGAAGCTGATTTTCGCGATGAGATCTAGTATTTAATTGAACGCATTTCTCTTGATCAAGTTCTGCATTTTCCAATTTTTGGTTACAGTCTTGTTTGCGTTGAGAAACAGGTGTATTTTCAAATTCATCCCAATTGCGTGACATAACACGCAATGCTACACCTTTTTTTGCCTTAGCTAGTATTGCTAGCCTTTCTTCTTCAAGCTCTTTTTCTGTAGGAGTGCTAAATTCAAAATGTGTATATTTAGGATCCTTTTTTAAAACATAACTTTCTTGTTGATTAGATTCTTCATATTCATTAAATAAAATAGAATTGATTTTTGATACATTATGAATTTTTTGACATGCCTTAGGGGGTTTGACTGAAATAGGTGTACCTTCTACAACAAAAAGATCTTCGTATGGACGTTGAATCGGCCTAGCTGGAGAACGAGGTCGAACAGGATTGTGATAAAATTCTCTAGATGGTTCTTCATATGGTTCAAAAAGTGACAAATTTTTTGATACTTTCTGATTTAATAATAAATAAGAATTCGAAATAAATAAGAACAAAATACTTGTTTTTCTTTAGAACAGGACAAATTAGAGCTGTCAATATCTAATAAAGATTAATCTAAATAATATTCTAATTAACAATTATACCTCTATTTTTCATGAAATAATGTTGTTCTTTGCCAAGTTTGATAGGGAAAGCTTGTTTGCGGTTACCAAAAATTTCGAGTTGTTTAAGAATAGTTGCTTGATCCCAGAAAACACGAATGCTTGATATCTTTTCGTTTTCATCAAACTCTATGATATATATCTAATGCAAATGAATCTCAATACATTGTAATAATATATAAGAAATACGTGTGGAAGTTGAACTTTACGGTCAATATAAAAATTGTCGTCAAGTCCTGGAACGAGCCATGCTGGTCCACTGACGAACTCAATATCTAAAAACACCTCAGAAACCATGCAGTTTCCTGATACGTGTAGATTAATTATCTCTTCTTTTAATTTAATCTGAGTTTGATACTCAGAAAGTTGCAGTAATATATTTTTACTCCCAGAAAAGCGTATGCAGGTTGTTACATAGGTTAAAATACAATGATCAGAAAATATTGACTGTGATGGGGTTTGTCTGAACTCCTTGTAGAGTTTTAATATGGATTCTTTAGCCAATTGTCCCATAAGATTTTGTTGATATTTTGTTGAGTCGGTTGGGTTATCCGTATAAATTTGTACGTAAATATTATAATAAAAGGATGTATTAATTTTTAATAAAACACTTGGTTTTATAGTATTTTCTATTAAGATTTAAAGAACTAAGTTATATTAATATTTATTAAAAATAATAAGATTTATATTAAACATGAAACCTACAAAAAATAATTATTTAAAAAAACAAACAGTTGGATTTTATGAGATTAGCATTTCAATTGTAGTGTAATTTCCTATTTTCAATTATGAAGATATTATATTCTAAAGAATGTAAAAAAAGAAGTTGTGAACATATCTTGATATATTTGATATTTTTGTAATTGAAAAAAATAATTTCTTTAATTCATTTATTATTAAATCTTAAAGTTAACATATTTTTATTATATATACTTGATAGATATATTATTATATATATTTAATAGTTATTTTGAAAATACAAGACATGGTATGATGGATTCTAATAAACCTTATTTTTACAAGACTTATAATTTAAAAAATAAAATACGACTTTATTAAATTTTATAAGGAAAAACTATATCGGCTAATGGATAAACAGATCAGTGAATTGTTTCCTTATTGTTAATAAAGTATTGTGTGATATCTGTTATCGCTCATTTTTTTGAATTTGAGCTTCTATAAAAAATTAGCTAATAAATCTATATAATATAAACTGTATTACCCCTACGAGTTGCGTCCTCAAGAAGAGCTGCATCAACATTTTCTGAAGGCAAATGTATATATCTAACGACGCTTCCCCTAATAAACATGTTTTTTACAGAGCTCTAATAATTTGTTTAAAAGTAAAATCAAATAAATGAAAATTTACCAAATGCGGATACTTTGACTCTTCCAAAACTTGACAATCATCAATCCGTAGATTTAAAAATTGGTCACAAGATTTTAGGATTCCTTTTATAGATAAATCATTTTTTAATTCTACGACAATTTGTGTGTCAATCTATTAATAAGTTTTAAATATTAAATATGTTTCAAATAAAACATACAAGTGTTTTAAAAAACGAATAAAATAGCATTTTATAGGATTATATTTCTTTTTTTTGAAAAATTACAGATGATACTCGTTAATCTAAATTATATAACATATTATACTCTAAAAAACTAAAAAAATTAAGTATATGTATAGACTTAACGCAGCAATAATAGTTTACATTAAGTATATTTTAGAATATATATATATATATGTTAAAATATTAGTTTTTACTAAAAAATGTATTTTTAGCTTAGGATTTTATTAAATTTCTTAGCTTTAATATTACAAAAAGATATTTTGTTGAATATTTATATTTCACTCTCTTAAAAATTAATCATAATTACACATATAATATATCATATTTGTATATTAGAAAATATAAACAAATATATATTTATATTAGTTTTATGAAACGAGCTGACTATTTAAGGTAAATAATAGAATTGTTAATATATCTTTTTGTGGTATATAGAAAATTAAAGATAAATATTTAATAACTTATTGTTAAAAGTGGGTAGAATATTAAAACGATGAAAATGTATAAGAATTTTAAAAGATAAGACTTTGTTAAAACATATGAAAAATACTAAAATATTGGGTATATTATAAACAGTAATAAAAATGCAATTGTAATTTATAAACATCCTCTTTCTCTAAGTACATCCTTTAATAATCCATTTTCGTTTGCATTTTCTATATCATGAATATTCTAAAACCTAAATTTAAACGATATGTTAAAAAATATATTTTAAGCCAAGAATTGCCGCTGGATCGGATGCAAGTTTAACATTTTTAAAAGACGGGGAGTCTCTAGAAGGAATTGAAGACGGGACGTACTTGACTGGATCTATTATATATTAAGAATCTTTTCAAAAAAAATACAGATAAAGAAGCGGATGCAAATGAAGTATATAATTGTAATATATGATTTTCAAAACTATCCATAAATTTATATTAAATATTTTTAATTTTATCTTTTACTGGCAACCAATCTTTTTAAACAATATTTATATATTTTTTTAAAAGACGGTTAACCAGCGACGTGGGGAAACGGCTAACCCGTTGGGCTCATAACCCAAAGATAGTACGATCGACACGTACCGTCGCTAAGTTCGAATCTTAAAGCATTATCTTTATCGGTCCTAACCCTAAATGATGGGGCTGGTATTCTACTTTATCAAACTTATCATTAAGATTACGGAATTGCATAAGAATCAAGGCGCTAAAGAATTGGTAATAGTGATTTTCTTAACAAAAATGCGTTATCTGAAATAGTGAAAATATAAATTGAATTTTATCTTAATTTTATACTTTAAAGCAGCAAATGAAGTTAGAGGTGGCCAGTCATCATTTGTTTTTTTAAGAATAATTAAGGTGGAGGAAGTGGAAGTGGTGAAGATGACGAAAAAGATGACGAAAAAGGTGATGAAGGTGATAATGGTGAAGGAGATGACGGTGATGATGATGGTTGATAACTATGAACTATTCGACGAAATGTTTGGATAACAGTACTAGGATGTGTAGCCTATAGAAAAAAATGAGGAAATTTGATAAAAAATGAGTAGTGATATACTTGAAAAATACTAGTGCCCGCAACAATAACATTAGCACCTATATTTTTTAAAATATTACATAAAAAAATTAACAAAAGGTAGGCTTACCAGCTTCAGCAGCAAGAGTAATATTAGTTTCGGTAAGACCTCCATCGACTTCAAGATTAAGATCTGGATATCGATGACGAAGAGCTCGTACTTTAGAAATACATGATGGGATAAACTAATGGAAATAAGCGAAATGAATATGAACAGATCAAAAAAGACATACTGTTTGACCACCAAATCCGGGTTCCACTAAAAAAATAGTTAGAAAAAAAAACCATTAATAAAAAAACCTGTCATTATTAATATCATATCCAAACGATCTGCAAGAGGAAACAAAACGGAGACAGGTGTCTTCGGTTTTATAGCAATCCCTGCCCTCATTCCTGCTTTGTGTATAATATCTATAAGTGCTGACGGATCATCTAAGAAAGTTATTATATTATTGATATAGAAACATTAAGACCTGTTGCTTCATAATGAAAACAATATATATCCCCTCCAGCTTCCGCAAAATCATGAACCCATTGTTCTGGCTTTGATACCTAATACCCAATTCAAACAAACTTAAATATAAGAAGTTTAGATACCATCATATGACAATCGAAAATAACATCACTTTTAGGAATAGCTTTTCGCAAACATTTAACTACTGGTGCACCAATTGTAATATTTGGAACGAAATGACCATCCATGATATCAAGATGTAGCCAGTCTGCGCCTTCCATCTTTGAGAAATGATCCAAGTTATATATAACTTAATCTTACTATTTTTTATCATCTAATATAAAGTAATGAATAAAGTTTAAAAATATATAAATAAACTTACTTTAATTCCTTCTTCTGCTAGACGTGAAAAATCGCCTAGTTATAATAACAACAAAATCACGAATTAGTAGATAATTACCTGCTAAAATGCTAGGAGCAATAATTGCTTTAGGCATTTCAAATAAAATTTGATTTTCTAATAACTTTTAAGATATATTATTAAAAACAAAGTATAGATTTAAAAGACAATAGTTTTCGTGCATAATATTGATTAACAAAAGTCTTTATTATTTTATAAATTGGATAGTAAATTTGTCTATAAACATGTATTTTTAATGATTCTTGGAAAATCATATATTAAAGTTGTATTTTAAAATAATTGTTTTTATAAAAATATATAAGATATAAATTTTAATAATTAATTAGTTTTTATGTAGCAAACTTTTTCTAACATTAGAATAACCTGATAATTCTGTGTAAAATTTTAAGATCAAGTTGATTTTCAAAAAAATTATTATTAGTATTAGAAATTTCAAATTAATAGAAACTTTTTTGCTTAAATATAAGTTTTAATGTTAAAATGATCAATGTTTATAAATTTATATATCAAATCTTTAAGAGTTGTTTTAGTGTTTTTATTATATCTGTGAGAGATTTATAATGAATTATAACATTATATTTGCAAATCCTAATTATTAACCACAAGTCTAACTTGTTCTTTTAAAGTTTATATAAATATTAAATTTATTATAATTATTGGAAAATTGTATACATATTTTTTTAATAATATTTGGTTTATTTTAAATGTTTAATCATTTAAATTGGATTTCTAGTCAACTTCCTGATCTTTCTAATAAAGTTGCTATTGTTACAGGCGCAAATTCAGGAATGTAGGTTTTTTCTTGAAATAATATAGGACTTATAGGTTTTTAAGAGGGTTTATAACAGCCCGTGAGCTTTTAAGAAAGAATGCCAAGGTTTATATTGCCTCACGCTCTAAAAAACGCACAGATGAAGCTATTAAAAAGATTAAAGAAACCTTAACAAATCCAAACGTCCTTTGGCTTGAATACGATGCGTGTGATCTTGATAGTGTTAAGAATGCAGCTTCTACATTCATAAATAAAGAATCGAGACTTCATATATTGGTTAACAACGCAGGAGTATTAGTTTATCATGTTTTTAGATATTTTTGATTAGTAATGTCAGGTTATGGCTCCTCCATATTCAGAAACGAAAGATGGATTTGAGGTCCAGTTTCAAACAAACTATCTTTCTCATTATCTTTTTACTCGCTTGTTATTGCCTGTTATGAAGAAAACATTGAAAAATGAAAAAGAAGGGGCTGTTCGTATTATTAATGTAAGCAGTAGAGCACACTCTATGTCTTTAAGAAATATAACTTATAACGATTTGAATATGAAATCATTTTGGTATTGGCCCGAGTTAATACTTAGATGGTAATATTTACTATATTTTTTAATACCATATTCAAATATTTAGGTTGCGTTATGCACAAAGTAAGCTAGCCCTTATTCTTTTTACAAAATCTATCTTTGAAAAATATTCAAAAGATGGAATTTATGCAATATCTGTTCATCCTGGTGTAGTAAGAACGGGATTGTTTAGATATAGTATATTTTTTACAAATGAAAGTTCTAAACTAATCTTTTGCAGCCAACTTTCTTAAATATTTTTTAATTTTTTCAAGGCTATTTATAAGCGAAGAAGAAGGAGCTATAACTCAGATTTTTGCTGCTGCTTCTAATGATATTATCGAAAAAAAACTTAATGGAGAATATTTAATTCCATATTGTAAAAAGGCTATACCATTTGGTGATTTTAGTCTAGAAGCATCTGAAAAACTCTGGGAGTTTTCTGAAAAAGAATTAAAAGATAAAGGTTACTTATAATGATTCATAAAAATTAGGTTTTCATTTTTAAGTGCAGTATATATTTTTAACATCTTTATATCTTTAAAGTCTGCTTTTTAGAAAATTATTTGATTTGATTTTTTCTTTATTGTCTTTCTTAATTTGTTTTTTCTTTTCTATTTTTTCATCAACAGTCTTTGAATCATCTAAAATTTTCCATAACCAATCCGGGTATTCTGATTCCTTGAGTGCTATAGGGTCCACGCCCTTTTTATAAATATTAATTCCTTTTAAAATTGTGCCTTCTGGAGCCAGACTTTTAAAAGAAAAGTTTTTTGATATATTTTTAATAACTTGATCAAAATTAGCTTTTAAATATATAAAAATATAAAATTTTAATTTTTACATTTATGTTTTATTAGTAATTTAGAAGCTGATTTATGATTAAAATTAATTAAGAAAACAAACATTTTATGAAAATTAACATAATTTTTTAAAGAAATTAACTTTTAATGTTAAAAAATTCAAACGTCAAAGTCCAGATATAAGATTAAAATAAAATTTATATTTAGCAATTGCCGGTATTTCTACTAATATTTATATAATGTAATTTAAGAAAGTCAATTATAAATGCTAAAATAATCAACAATTTAAAGATTAGTAATATTTATTTAAAAAATTCTTTATAATAAAATATTAAATACTAAATTTTTTATTGAATAATATCTTTAAAAATATATTAACAAAGCTATATCTCTATATAATTTTATAAAAACTATTATTCTTTGAATTATTTTATCCATTTCAAATTTTATTTGATAAAACAGCTTAAAAATCGACTCATATTTTATACAACTAGAAATGAACAAAATTTAATATTAATATATAATCGTGTAAGAATTATTGTTTGATGTTATAAGGGACTTTTTTATATTTTATCTACATATTAACCAAAAATTTTTGTACATTATTATAGATTTATATTATAATTTTTTTTTAAATATAGCCATTGTTTAATATATTTTCAAATATACAACTTTTTGGCTGTTTTTTAGGGATATTTAAGCAGTCTTTCTGCATAATAGCATTCATATATTATTTATAAGAGCATAACCCTCTATCGAAAGGCATAACCTTTAACCTCAGCGCTCTCAGTAGATTAAAAGATAATACTTATTAATAAATAAATAATATATTCATAAACCCCTTGGCTTTCTCTCATATATCTAAGGAATATTCTCATTATATTTATTTTCGTTAATATGGGATTTTGAATTATAAAATATGAAAAATATATGAAACGAATTATTATAATAAAAATCATGCAAATACTAAGTGGCAGATTTGGGTTAATAATGCTCACAAACAATATAAGGGCTTCTTCTGATAGCCCTATTTGTTAAGGATTAATATTATTTATGCTTAGAAATACCAATTAAGTAGCATTTCACAGAATATAATTTTAGAAAAAAAGGCGCTACGAGTAAAATAACTTTAGGATATTGGAATATTTTTGTTTTTAGATTGGATTATAATATATGTTTCTGGATAGACAACATCAGCCTTTGGCTCCTAAAATAAAATCTACTACGTTATTGCCTTATAAGCCATGTGGGAAGGGAAAAACTAAAATAGCAATGAAATACAGGGAAGATAAAAGACAAAGACAGGTAATGAAAAGCCTTTCCTATCAATTATAACACGGCCTTTTAGATCACTGCATCTAAACGATTACCCGGATTAATGAAAAAAGCTGCACAATATAGTGAATTAACTGGAGCCAAAGTAATCGTTCTGGTTCGAGATGAACAACGTAGGGTTTATAGATATTGCTCAGAAGGAGAAAGTAATATTGAGAAATCTGCAAAT